AAGTCAAATGCAGATGCTTTACCTGATTTTACTGATATTTAACAAAAGGGGAAAAAAGTTGAATTTTATACCATTGGAAGGACCAGAGGATGAGTCTAAAAATGGTCAAAAATTCGATGAAGTTTGTTACTGTTTAGTGAAAGACTGTTTGCTTTAAATAATTCACTCTTATGCCAGAAATATGATTTTATTGCGTGAAGACGTCTATGGAGACGGAAGGTTCTGGAAGAAAAGTTTGGTAAGTGGACTTTTACTCGTATTTGATCTGATTCACATGCAGGAAGTTTGTCTGAAGGGCCAAAAACAGCGAACAAACTGGAACTAAACTGCTAATTTGGGTAAATTCTGAATGAAGTCTGGTGCTGTTTGCTTGGTCAGGAGTTTTGGAATATTTGAGTCTTATTTATACTTAAAGACAAACCTGAACAAGGTGAAAGTGCCATGGGCTGGTCAAAATGGTGCACTGCAGCATGTCAGGAACATCAGTGGTTTCAGTTTTGGTCTCTCCCACGGTAGCTTTGCATAAGTTTGAATTCAAAACAAGCTGTTTTAGCTCCCCCCTCTTCGAGGCCAGCCTCATTCTCAGATGACCATTCAGATCAAAATCCAAATTTATTTTAAAATCACATTTCAAAACAAAGTTGATCAAAGAAACAAAAGGTTACACACAAATTGCAAAAACACAAGTGATGATATAACAGCCTGAATTCATAAGCTCTCACGACAAGTTCAAAGGCAAAGAATAAAGATGTGAACATGGAGCAGCGACTCGTTCTTAAGTGTAGTCTTTGGAACAGAGGAGTAGCTGGGCAGCAGATCTCTGTGACCTTGAAGGACATTTAAAAAAACAATAAAATCTTAAAATCGATCCTAAAAAGCACAGGAAGCCAGAACGGAGGAGGCATGCTACAGCTTACGGGTTCAGGTAAGAGGGCACCATGTTGGACTGAGTGAAAGGGAAGGCCTGATATTTACCAACGTAAAGGGCATAACAACAGTCGAGTGGAGCTGTAATGAAATAATGATAACTCTTACAATTATCTAAAGATGAGGGCTTGACCTTGGAAGTCTCAACAGGTAAAAACCTGATTTCACAACAGAATGAATCTGATTGTCTAGTGTTTGGTCAAAGTCCATTTTCACACGAAGGTCCAACTGCTGAAGCAACTGGGTCAAAGTATCACAACCACACACACACATCACAACTGTCATAAAAGGTTTGGCCTTAATTCTTTACATTTTAATCAGTTGCCATCATTTCTTTTATGGAGCAAATAGATTTGGTAATCATCAGCACAGAAGTGAAATGAGAGGATGTATCTTTCAGAAATGATCCTAGAGGGAGAGAAAACATTGGGCCCCAGAATGGAGCCTTGTGGGACTCCGTAGAGGAGCAGTGCTCAGCCTAAACCACTCTCGAGCTGCGCCCTCTCTGTGACATCATGCTGGTCCACAAGTAGAAAAAAATGATTTCAGTTCAGAGCAGTGTGCAGCCGGAGCTTTGATTTGAGGTGACTGTGCATACACTAATTGACACTCATCGCTGGGAAAGAGACAAAACCCGGAAATTGAAAATATTAAATATGGAAACATTAAAGTCATTAAGAACAAATCGCTGTCTACAAGGGAAAATGTAAAGCGTCATGAGCAGTGTTGGGCAAGTTACTTTGAAAAAGTAATTCAGTTACTAGCAGAGATGGGCAGTAACGCGTTATTGTAATCTGATTAC